GAAATGGAAAGCAAAAAAACTTTCTACGACCCTCTCCTACCAAGTGATATTCCATTTATTTCTTCCCATCGGTAATCACCTTCGTCTTCGTCTTACCTTTTTACATACAAATTGAACATAAAAATTGATGAAACAGAGCAATTTATGTTTGTTCCACGTTCTCGAGCATGTACACACTAAAAACTGGTTGACAGCTGTTTAGAGACAAAAAAATATTTTAAATTTGATCCAAGAAAAAAAATTTTGAAAACAATGATGGAATAATTGTGGAAATCTTTCTGTGTTTTTTTTACACCTTTTTTTTCTTTTGCAAAAGTCCGCAACCACGGCCGTTATCCGTGATGGTATAAAAGACTGTCGAAGAGGATATCGGTGCATCAGTGCTGCCAGAAATCTCTGAACATAATGGATCAACAGCGGATCAAGGCCTATAAGATTGCCTCGTATTCAGCAATAACTTTTTCGGTGATTGCCGTACTGTCAGTGTGTATTGCTTTACCAATGATACACAGTTATGTTACAAATTTACAAGCTCAAATGGCTAACGAATTAGCTTTCTGTCATGTAAGTTTATTATTCTAATAAAAAAATTACATTTCTGTTATTCTTGTTACCTTAATTTTTTTCTTTTAGTTTACGTTTTTCTTCTTTGCTTCTTTTTTTCAATCCAACCTTTTTTGAGTTAGCAAATCTTTATTAAATTTTTTAAACAAGTCTTGCATCCAAATTTAATAATTAGGTTTTTTTTGTGTGACAAATTTTTAAATAGCTAAACCACCAAACTTCTTTTTTTCATGAAGACTAATTAATTCAATCAAAATATAGGTAGTACTTTCTTTTGAACACAGGAAATTGTTTTAATAAGTTTACCAAATTTTAACATTAATGTCGAAACAATTGATTTTTTCGCATTAGTTGATCACTGTCTTTTTGTAAATAATTTACCAGATTAAAGCTGCTGTTCTAGAATTCAGCCAGAGATATTTGGACTGAAGTTGGTGTGCTAAAACGTTACGAGGTAACTACAAACAGGACTGCTCGACAGGCATATAACTGCGACGAGTGCTGCTCTGGCGGTGAACCAGGACCGAAAGGACCGCCTGGACGTCCTGGAAAGCCTGGGAAACCAGGAGCTCAGGGGCCACCAGGAAAACCTGGAAAACCCAATACCGAGCCATGTGTACCATTGACTCCCCCGCCATGCAAACCATGTCCAGCTGGTCCAGCTGGCATACCAGGTTTACCAGGACCTGTGGGCGACCAAGGGCCAGATGGACTTCCAGGATTGGATGGACCTGACGGTCCTCCTGGCCCGCCAGGTCCAGTTGGCGAACCAGGTTTACAAGGACTGCGAGGTATGATGGGTCAAATGGGTGAGAGAGGAGAAGACGGAGTCTACGAACATATTATGGGTGAACAAGGACCACCTGGTATGAAAAATACTGGTTACACAGCCTAACTCTTTTATTAACTTAACCAGCGCCAGAGTAATGCTAACTTTCTTTACTTGAACATTTTGTAGGTGATGTTGGACCCCCAGGTCCTCAGGGACCACAAGGGCCGCCAGGACCATGTGGACCTCCTGGACCTCCTGGACCTCCAGGACAAGCAGGTCCGGATGGCGAACCAGGCCAAGATGGACCTCCAGGCCCTCCAGGAGCAATGGGAGCTCCTGGCGAAGATGGCGGAATCTGTCCAACATATTGTGCAATAGACGGTTCAGCCACATACGAAGACGGTTAGCTGATTTCAGCAGCTGTCAAGCATTTTTGAAGCTT